TGCTGCGGAAAAAGTGCATAATCCAGTTTGTTCTAAACATGTGACAAGCTTCATATTAAGGCCTTTAAAAACTGGTAAGACATAGTTTATAGTTTCGTTTTGCATATTAGTTTAAGCGGCTCGGCCGTCATATGCTCTGACAGAAAGGCTGCATCCCAGCAAACACAGAGCGTTCCCCTAACGTTAGTTTTTGGTTCCTATTTGGTTATTTTTTTGGGAACCAAATACTAACGTTAGGGGAACGCTCTTTTTAGGTTATATTTTTTGCAACCATAAAATAACGTTCCCAGAACGTTGCAGGATGGTTACTTTTAAATAACCTAAAAATAACTTCTAGAGAACGTTCCCTAATGGTTATTTTTAGGTTATTTTTGTGCAACCATAAAATAACGTTCCCGGAACGTTGCAGGATGGTTATTTTTAAATAACCTTAAAATAACTTATACAGAACGTTCACTTATGGTTATTCTCAGGTTATTATTATAACCCTGTAAAACTATCTTTCCAATGAAAACGTCGCAGATGTTAATGCGTAATGACCTATACAGAGCCCTGAAATTCGTTTAATGCAGCATTTATTAAAATTCAGGAATTAGATCAACCAAAACGCGATTTAAATTATAATATTAAGCCAGGGTTAAGCGTAGAGTGATAACATAAATCATACATTCATGTGTTTGTTTCATCTTCATTTACTGCGCGCCTCTGATCTGCACACGCTTTCACCTGTCTTCCACAGCGAGCCGTAACATGAGTTTAGGAACTGAATAATAAAAAGGAAAAATAAAAAAACTGCTTTGAATTCAATATGCACTGATTCTTATTTAAGCTACAAAAGTTATTTAGGTCAGAGCAGTGAGTGATTTTCTCTTTGTCTTTTGTTCATGGCCCCAAATATTGCAAGCTGTAGAAATATGCATATTGCGATATGTACATTTGCGATATTTCGATATATTGTACAGCCCTACCACATAGTGACAGAAAACTGTATAACCTGCAAGTTCATGAAAACGTAAATACGATGCCCGTACTGCCTTTGATGTGGCCTTAATGACGGGAAAAAAACATTCGCTGGTCAAAAACTTCGTATTTGAACTTGATTTTGGTGAAATTTTACTAATATAATGACACATGACAAGCTTCATATTAAGGCCTTTAAAAACTGGTAAGACATAGTTTATAGTTTCGTTTTGCATATTAGTTTAAGCGGCTCGGCCGTCATATGCTCTGACAGAAAGGCTGCATCCCAGCAAACACAGAGCGTTCCCCTAACGTTAGTTTTTGGTTCCTATTTGGTTATTTTTTTGGGAACCAAATACTAACGTTAGGGGAACGCTCTTTTTAGGTTATATTTTTTGCAACCATAAAATAACGTTCCCAGAACGTTGCAGGATGGTTACTTTTAAATAACCTAAAAATAACTTCTAGAGAACGTTCCCTAATGGTTATTTTTAGGTTATTTTTGTGCAACCATAAAATAACGTTCCCGGAACGTTGCAGGATGGTTATTTTTAAATAACCTTAAAATAACTTATACAGAACGTTCACTTATGGTTATTCTCAGGTTATTATTATAACCCTGTAAAACTATCTTTCCAATGAAAACGTCGCAGATGTTAATGCGTAATGACCTATACAGAGCCCTGAAATTCGTTTAATGCAGCATTTATTAAAATTCAGGAATTAGATCAACCAAAACGCGATTTAAATTATAATATTAAGCCAGGGTTAAGCGTAGAGTGATAACATAAATCATACATTCATGTGTTTGTTTCATCTTCATTTACTGCGCGCCTCTGATCTGCACACGCTTTCACCTGTCTTCCACAGCGAGCCGTAACATGAGTTTAGGAACTGAATAATAAAAAGGAAAAATAAAAAAACTGCTTTGAATTCAATATGCACTGATTCTTATTTAAGCTACAAAAGTTATTTAGGTCAGAGCAGTGAGTGATTTTCTCTTTGTCTTTTGTTCATGGCCCCAAATATTGCAAGCTGTAGAAATATGCATATTGCGATATGTACATTTGCGATATTTCGATATATTGTACAGCCCTACCACATAGTGACAGAAAACTGTATAACCTGCAAGTTCATGAAAACGTAAATACGATGCCCGTACTGCCTTTGATGTGGCCTTAATGACGGGAAAAAAACATTCGCTGGTCAAAAACTTCGTATTTGAACTTGATTTTGGTGAAATTTTACTAATATAATGACACATGCAACAATGCAAATAAACGTAGCCTAAGTTATTTGTAGGCCTATACATCTATATGGTAACACTATACAATAAGATTTTGTTAATGTTAGCTAATGTATTAACTAACATGAGCATACAATGAACAACACATTTATTATAGTATTTATTCATCTTTGTTAATAATGAAAATACAGTTGTTCGTGTAGTTCACAGTGCATTAACTAATGTTAACAAACACAACTATTGATTTTAATAATGCATTAGTAAATGTTAACATTTACATTAATAAATGCTGCAGAAGTATTGTTCATTCTTAGTTCATGTTAACAACACTAGTTAACTAATGCTAACTAATGAACCTTATTGTGAAGTGTTACCATTTATATAAATGTATGTATACAATAAAGCCACAATATTAACTACAGTGAACAAAATTATAAACACAACATTTTGTTTTTGCCCCCATAGCGTTCCCCTAACGTTAGTTTTTGGTTCCTATTTGGTTATTTTTTTGGGAACCAAATACTAACGTTAGGGGAACGCTCTTTTTAGGTTATATTTTTTGCAACCATAAAATAACGTTCCCAGAACGTTGCAGGATGGTTACTTTTAAATAACCTAAAAATAACTTCTAGAGAACGTTCCCTAATGGTTATTTTTAGGTTATTTTTGTGCAACCATAAAATAACGTTCCCGGAACGTTGCAGGATGGTTATTTTTAAATAACCTTAAAATAACTTATACAGAACGTTCACTTATGGTTATTCTCAGGTTATTATTATAACCCTGTAAAACTATCTTTCCAATGAAAACGTCGCAGATGTTAATGCGTAATGACCTATACAGAGCCCTGAAATTCGTTTAATGCAGCATTTATTAAAATTCAGGAATTAGATCAACCAAAACGCGATTTAAATTATAATATTAAGCCAGGGTTAAGCGTAGAGTGATAACATAAATCATACATTCATGTGTTTGTTTCATCTTCATTTACTGCGCGCCTCTGATCTGCACACGCTTTCACCTGTCTTCCACAGCGAGCCGTAACATGAGTTTAGGAACTGAATAATAAAAAGGAAAAATAAAAAAACTGCTTTGAATTCAATATGCACTGATTCTTATTTAAGCTACAAAAGTTATTTAGGTCAGAGCAGTGAGTGATTTTCTCTTTGTCTTTTGTTCATGGCCCCAAATATTGCAAGCTGTAGAAATATGCATATTGCGATATGTACATTTGCGATATTTCGATATATTGTACAGCCCTACCACATAGTGACAGAAAACTGTATAACCTGCAAGTTCATGAAAACGTAAATACGATGCCCGTACTGCCTTTGATGTGGCCTTAATGACGGGAAAAAAACATTCGCTGGTCAAAAACTTCGTATTTGAACTTGATTTTGGTGAAATGTTACTAATATAATGACACATGCAACAATGCAAATAAACGTAGCTATTTGTAGGCCTATACATCTATATGGTAACACTATACAATAAGATTTTGTTAATGTTAGCTAATGTATTAACTAACATGAGCATACAATGAACAACACATTTATTATAGTATTTATTCATCTTTGTTAATAATGAAAATACAGTTGTTCGTGTAGTTCACAGTGCATTAACTAATGTTAACAAACACAACTATTGATTTTAATAATGCATTAGTAAATGTTAACATTTACATTAATAAATGCTGCAGAAGTATTGTTCATTCTTAGTTCATGTTAACAACACTAGTTAACTAATGCTAACTAATGAACCTTATTGTGAAGTGTTACCATTTATATAAATGTATGTATACAATAAAGCCACAATATTAACTACAGTGAACAAAATTATAAACACAACATTTTGTTTTTGCCCCCATCTTTCATGAGCTGAACTCAAAGATCTAAGACTTTTTTTATGTACACAAAAGGCCTATTTCTCTCAAATATTGTTCACAAATCTGTCTAAAATGATAATGCACCAATAGGAGGTTTCCGGCTGACAGCAAAAATGTATTTTGCCTATGTCACAATATGAGGTACATCCGGCCCTGTAGATGATACTGATTTTTGTTGCCAAATTGGTTTGGAACAGTTGTTGAATAAACAATTAAACTGAACTATTATGCTTGTCTATCTGCTTGACTGACAGTTTTATTGATCACTGAGAGAGCAATGACTTGTTATTATGTTGGTTCAATATAAAAATGACGTTTTTAAAAATGAGCTTGGATGTAGTAAACTACTTTTGCCATGTTGCTGTAGCTTAGCTTGCTACATTTCACAGGGCTGTAGCTTTAGTGTACTGAAGCTTCATTTAATGAAAAGTACTGTTAGCTTAGCTCACTACATTTAGCTTGCCCAACACTGGACAGACACATTTAGATAAATAAATGGGTGGATAGTACTTTAGCAGAAAGATGGACAGATTCTTTTGCAGATAAATAAACGGCTGTCTACTTTTGTAGACAGGTCATATTTTTAATGATAAAGTATATATATATGTATGCAGATGATAGATAAATTAGCAGATAAATAAATGAATGGACATATGCATGCTTTTCATACAAATGTATATTTAAATAAATATAGGTCTTGCTGTGGATTGATACTTCTGGTAGACAGATGCACAGACACATTTGTTTTGATTAATAAATGAGTGGATTTATGAGTGGAGTAGTTTCGCTGATGGATGGATATATTTGTGTAGACGAACGGATAGGCTACTTTTGCAGATAAATAAACAGTCGGATCTACTTTTGTAGATAGACAGGGTAGGACTACATTTTTGACAATAAAAATAGATAGGTTATAGCTGTATAGATGGGTTTATACTTATTAGATGATTTGTGCTTTCGCAGACGCAGATAAATAAGGGAATGGAAACAGAATATAGATACAGATTGTGGTCTCGTGTTTCTTGCAGTTCCTAGTCGTTGTGACTATAACGGGCGCTCCGTGAGTCAGCCCAGCAGCCCGGACGTATGGAGCACAGTCAGCACCGGCAGCCCGTTCGGTCCAGACCGACCATGCGTTCAGCCGAGCTGCACTGACACTGACAGCGATTCCGAGGACGACAGCGCGGCACCCGGCACTAAACGATGACAGTCATGGTCGTCGTTGTTATACCCCTCCACCTTGCTGAAAGGAAGAGATCTGTTTTACTCTAAATATATAATGCCCAAATAACCATATTCTGTTTAACTTTAAAATTTGTTTAAACTAAATTCAGCGAAACATATTTTGACATGACAAGAGAATAAACACTAACGTGCAAGCCTCGCGGTATTTGAGTGAATTCCCGCGAGAGTTTGCGGATTTCGGAGAGCGAAGAGGGCGAAATGGAGATATGAGGTCTGAAAAGGAGCAGAGGACAGGAAGCAGGGAGAGAGGCAGCGTCGAGATCCAGTTCAGGGACTGTCAGAGGGAGCAGGACAACGTCGCGGTGAACCCGAAGCACAAGGAGGAGAAAAAGGAGACCTTCAGCAAGGTAAGTGGCGCAGTTGTTTGGTAGGTTGGGAGAGTGTGATGATGATGATGGGAGGGAACGGGATTCAGCACCATAGACAGCGAAAACGCAGGACAGCCGTCGAAACGAAGATCCCAGTGGCATCAATCACGTCAAACACAAATGCACTCGTACACAAATACCCCTTTTGGATGGATTTAATAGTCTAGGCGTTGAATATTTAGATCTTTTAGAAAAGTGCACAGTCAATGAGAGAGACATTTGAAAATTAACATTTGTAATATTTATATATAGCCAATGTGTGTGTGTGTGTGTGTAACATTTACTCACACTACCGTATGACTTACATTTTGGAACACATGGAAAATTAAAATAATGTACTGTTCTTTACCATGCATTTGCAATTAATGGGGACTAGATTTTTTTATCATTAAAAATGACACTAAAGCACGATAACTTATTCTATTTGATTCATGCACAGGAACTATGTACTCCTCAATAAAATTAGACTGTAATTAATTACATGTTCACAGCCCCTCCTCATCATTAATATTTCAGCTTTTATTTTGTACTGTATATTAGTCAGGCCTCTTTTTGGCTCTTGTGCAATGTTGTGCTCACATCATATATGTACGATTTTTGTCATTGCCATTTTATTTCTAATATTTGCAACTATAATTTTGTAATTGTGGGTGCTGATCTTGCTTTTGATGTAGATTTTTTTAGTACAATTTTCTTTATACATGCTTCTTTTTATATAGGTTGTCATACGCCGACTGCCACCCAGTTTATCAAAAGACCAGCTCGAGGAGCATCTGAGTCCTCTTCCATCTTTTGACTATTTTGAGTTCTTCCCCGCTGATCAGAGGTCTATTTGGTTTGTGTATATGAATATAATGTGATCAGAAGCACTGTCAGCGTTTGATACATGTGCGTGTCTTTATATATTTATTCTCCCCAGCTTATACCCACATCTCTTTTCAAGAGCATACATCAACTTCAAAAACCCAGAGGATATCATTATTTTCAGAGATCGCTTTGATGGCTATGTATTCATTGATAATAAAGGTAATTAATTGCCCTCTTTTTACTGTTTATTCACCCTCAATCTAGTTATAACTATAATAGTGGTAATATAAATGGCTTTTATTTAGTTTAATATATAACAGGTCCATAACATATTTGTTTAATATACTATTTGTTGTATATTTTTTTAATGTAGGCCAAGAGTATCCAGCTGTTGTAGAATTTGCTCCATTTCAGAAAGTTTCAAAGAAAAAGTTAAAGAAGAAAGATGCTAAAGCAGGAACTATTGAAGAAGGTATTTACCATTTTTAATTTATAAAACATTATTAATATTATTTATACATTTCAAGTATTCATAAAAAGTGACTTTACTGAGTAAAGTATATACTGCAAAAAGCCAATAAATTTGTTAAACACTTTATCTCTATTTAAAATCTTCCTAAATCAGACCCAGAATACAGGCGATTTCTGGAAAATTACTCTTGTGATGAGGAGAAATCAATGGCCAATCCAGAAACACTATTGGGAGAGATTGAAGCTAAAACCCGAGAACTCATAGGTACTGTTTTGGAAATCGTTTAGCACTGTTAGCCTTTTTGTAGATACATATATGTCCAGGACATATATTTACATGACAAGTATTATGTCTAGGATATACAAGTATTACGAAGCTGGTCTTAGTTCATTTTGATGAGAACACTTTTTGATGTTGAGAAATGCTCTTCTAGTATACTGGCAGTACTGGTCGGATAATTTGTAATGGGCTGCTATGGGTTTATTGGAATAGAGGATATTAATGGATGATTAAAAATATGTCTGTGGTGAACATTACTTGAATTAGAACATAACAGGTGTTCTCATTTTTTGTTTTACAACATAAATTAAACACAATCATTCCTCAAAAAAAATCACTGTCCAAGTCTCTACCAGTTTTCAAAGCTGTTAACTGAGCGCTGTTTTCCCTCCATGTGACTTTATTTGTAGCCAAAAGGACAACACCCTTGCTGGAATACATTAAAAACAAGAAATTAGAGAAACAGGTAAGAGCACCATCTGAATGCATGTTATACACTGTGGTTTTGTACTGTATATACATGATCCTTTTCAATTCTAGAGAATAAGAGAGGAGAAAAGAGAGGAGAGGCGAAGGAGGGAACTGGAAAAGAAGCGACAGAGGGAAGAGGAGAAGAGGAAGCGCAGAGAAGAGGAGAGACGAAAGCGGAAGGAGGCTGAAAAGCAGAAGAAGCTTTCTGAAAAGGAGATAAAGATCAAGGTATGACTTAAAACCATATCACATCTTGAAGATGACTGTGTCACAGACTTTTTAGTTATTTTGGTCTTAGTTTCATTGTGATTAATTTAGTCAGCACAGGTTTTTGTCATTATAGCCCTGTATTTAAGTTGCTCTATTTTCACTTCACTTCTATTTTCACATTGCCTACTCGTATTTGGATTTATCTACCTTTGCGTTTGTCAAATAAACCTTGTTTTACTTTAGTCTTTGAACTTCTTCATCATTTTTAGACCTCAAGCGTGACAGACTGTTTTTCAGCTGTGGTTATCAGTACTGTACTCAAAACCAGTCATTACATGAGATCTGCATATTGACTCCTTTAGCTTTTGAAGAAGTGTGATCGAGACGATGACATGGACTCAGACAGACTGAAAGATAAAGCAGACAGTGGAGAGATAGAGAAGAACAGATGGGAAAAGCCAGCAGGACACACTAAGTCAAAGGATTCCAAGGATAAGTAAGAGCTACCTAAAACTTGCCGCTACTTGCCATAAAAGATACAGTGGAGTTTAAAAAGCTACTGTAATTCAAATTTGGAAATAAACAAAAATTTTTAAGTTGGCACAAAATGGAAATGATGTTTTCTGAATGCATCTTAATGATATTATTGTGTAAGATTCATCCATGCATATGTTGGAAGTATTTTCTTTTTTTGACCTCGAAATCAAAAATCAAAATACGATCTTAATCAAAGTCTCGATCTTCCGGTGAAACAACAGACTTCTCTCTTAAACCCCACCCCTTTCTTACAGTCGACTGCAAGCTCGCATTCAGATCTTCCTCCATCCAATTAACAAAATCGATAGATTGAACCAAGTTAAGGATTTTGACAAATGTGAAACTAAAGAAGTTATGTCTTAAAATGAAGAAGAATTTTACAATTCTGCTGTTTCTAGGCCAATAATCAATTCAATTTTTGTCGTTGATCATGTGAACTCTTTGTATAGATGGTAAGATGTTCTTTCCTCCATTGAGGCACATGTTCTTTAGATCATTCTCAAATCACATTGGATAACACGATCATCAGATTGTGACGATTTTTCATATTTAGTTACTTTTGGACCCCACTGTATATACAATTATTTATAAAGTCATATTGAAGTGGTTGATTTTATTAAGTGGGCTCTCCGTAGTAGGAGTCAAATTGAGAGTGACAAGGAGCAGCGGGAAGGTCACGGCCGTCGCCAGAGGGACAAAGAGCATCGCGGCAGAGATGAGGAGCGCAAACGACAGAGGCATCACTACGAGTTTGACAAGTTTATGCGACGCAAGGAGGAGACCAAATGGGGTAAAGGCTACTGCCAGGACAGAGCCAAGAAAGACCAACATCATGGCTATTCTTACTGCCCAGAGACTGGAGACAAACTGGGAAAAGAGGAACGAGAGGACATGGGCAGCAGGAAAGAACGGATTCGCAATAAGGTAAATAAATGCCAACAGAGTAGCGATATCTCAACCACAGTCCATTTGCAGCTCTGGTTCTGGTATTATGTACAGTTATTGTCATCAGTCAGTTTGTCCGGTCTGTGTAGCAGATGAATCCACTAATGCATTCAATATTTACACATCTGTAGTTCATATATACATCATTATGTCTGTGGGAAATACAATACGAATCTGCCTCCCTCACGGGGCTTTCAATGCAGCCTACACTGATGTGTTGAGGTAGTTAGCTGTAATTTGGCTGTTGGCAATATTATTGACGGAAGACAACGTGTCTCTCAGTCTGTGTTAGTGCATCAGGAGAAAAGGACTTCCCAGTCTGAGGGGCCAGACCAGATAGGAGGGGCTCAGCCAGCAAAGGTACAGCTAGTTTTTGAGCCTTTCTACCCACGGGAGGGGATGCTACACATGCTGTATACTGAGAGGCCCCGCACCTTACAGTGCCAGGCGTACTTGCTGACAGCAGAATGTTGCTAATGCTGTAATGGCACAGATGAGGAGTGGTTCCCAATAGAAGAAGCTTATACAACTGAAAACTACGGCTCTGTTCCAAAACGTAGTGAGTTGCCTGCATGGGCAGCATGTTAAGGCATCGTATGCATCTTGCCCCCAGTGTAGAGGTGGTGTGGGGGGATTCATTTAAAATGGCAGATGAGGAATGTCCATTAGAAATATAGTTAAAAATGTATAAATGAGATGCAACGACTCATTTAAACCTAGAAATAAACAAAAATTAAGGATTTTTAAAATCAAATAAAAATATAACACTATAATCGCCAAACTCTACTGAAATGAGAGGAGAGTCTCCTTTGCTTTTTTCCACGAGGAGCACTATTTGTGTGAGTTGCTGCCTATGTAAAGCATGTAGGATGTTGTCTTAAAAGACTGCTCCCTATGTAGACAGTAAATAGCATTTCACTTGGTTTTGGAACAGATCCTACATGTATACAGAAGAATACATATGATCTTCACATTGAAATGCTTACATGCTGGATTCTGTTTATACATTTTAGTAAGTAGTCATTTAGCAGATGATTTTGTCCAAAGTGACTTACAATACACTTATTTTCAGAAGTGATGATAGCAACAGTAGTCCGGTTACTAGCCCTGAGCTTTAGCCATTATGTGTCACCCCCATCATCACCAAATCGAAACTGTTAAATTGCAAAGAAGGGCATAACAGATACAATGCAGTATAATGTTTTTGTTATGGACTAAATGGATTTTGAGGGGCTGTCAATGGCTGGTTGTCTGAAGTAAAGTAAATGTGATTCAGATGGGGAAGGAAATTGATTATATGCATGAATAGCACTTTCTTGACTAACCTGTCATGAGAAAAATCTGTGTTTGTGGTATGAAATATGAGTGTATTGCTTTTGTCTTTTGTGTCTTACTCATTTCACGGCACAGGACCGACCAGCAATGCAGCTGTACCAACCTGGTGCTAGAAACCGCAAGCGAATGGGCTCTGGGAACAAGACGTTTGACTTCCCACCAATCTCTCCCGAACACGGAGGAGAACACTGCTACAAGACGGTCATTGGTGCAGGCTCAGAGAAGAGTGCTGACGAGTAAAAAAAAAAAAAACACGACAGGAAGAAGTCTATTTTTAGAAGCAAGGGTCATGCCAGAATAGAAAGAACACTCGAGATCAACCTTGTTTTCTGTCTTGTTTAGTCAATGTGTGAGTATAGTACATTGAATTCCCTACTTAATATTTTACACACAAAGTCAACAGTGTCATAAATTTAAAATGATCGGCTTCTGTATGCTTATCAAGGATTCACACCACTTTATTGAGAAAAATACCTCAGATCAGATTTATATGCCTTTTGTAGTACAAGGAATGGATTCCGTTAAACAAAAGAATAGATATATATATAGAGAGAGATTTTACTGAAGAAAAGCAGTATGTGTTGTGAAATCTGTATTTTAAATATAAGTAATATGGGATGGGGAACAGAGACATATTTTTTCTTTAGGAATATAAAAATGCTACATTGTATTAATGAAACATTTAAGCATGTACCTCTTAATTTTACACTTTCACACTGTAATGCCTTTGAATGATGCTTCTATTGTCCCTGATGTATAGACATTGTGGCTTTTCTGTATTAACAAATACATCTCACAACAGGATATAGCAACTTTCAGAGCATCGTTTTACCTGCGGGCCAAAAAGAACAAAATAAATTGTCAAAATCGTCTTCTGTTAGGTCCGATAACATGTTTTGTGATATTTCTAACCAATGTGCATGTTTTTGAGAAATTGCAGTCATTCAGTAGTGGGAGGCTACATGGGGTCACATGCCTTACCTTTGATTTGCACTTAAAGATCCCGTCTGTTATTAAATAAGCCTACAAAAATACACGTTTTTAGAATTATTGTTGAGTCCAAAAAAAAAGAAAAGAAAAAAAGAGTGAACTCTGTAGAATACTTTAAAAATGTGATACTGTATTTGATGGATTGACCATTTGTGTACAATAAAGATATATGATTATATAAAGTATTATTTGAATGTTATTATTATTATTTTACTTTAAACATTTAAATTCATAACTTAAATTTGGACTTTTACACTATGATTAAAACTTAACAACGTATAGCTTTTAAAAAACAAACAAACAAACAAAAAACCAAAAGAATTTGGTCAAATTAAATTAACAGAATTAATTATATAAAATTACAAAATTCTATAATTCAGTATTTTTTAAGGTCATTAAATATGGGCATATTTCCGAAGATAAAAGACCAAATTTCACCATAATTACAAATCAAATTAAATAATACAAAAGAATACTTTTTCTTAAGGCTGGATTTCTTGAGATTTATTGCTTTTGCTTGCAAAACAGCTCAGCAGCTGAAGTCTGCTCTTTGTGAGTCAACTCTAAAGCAGAATCAGTTTGCACTGAAAAGATAGACATTAATATAATTTGCAGTTTCTCATACTACACCTTTAGTTCCCACACTTTCAGACTGAGAAAACAAGTCATAATGTCTTCCTGTGTCTTTCGCGGCATGACTTTTTACCTCCAATTTTACTTCTTAGTCTTGTTTTTTTTTCATACCTATCACCACTGCTTTTCTAGTTCTCAGTGAAGGAGTATTGATGGAAGATGTGATAAATGCATCCTGTACTGAAATGTCCTGTCACTAATGGCAGTCATCTTTAGTCAAATAGCAGTTCCCCTTACTCCAAAATAAAATGTTTATTTTAATGTGTTGTCTAATGCATCAATTACAACGTAAAAGTTGAGCTCACAAAGCAAACAGGAAACAAGATCACAGGTATGACGCTGATAAAACCCCCTGCATGAGTTTCTGCATTACAGTTTCCTTTTTTGTTTTTGAAAAAAATCAATGAATTAAAAACTTTTTCTTTCTTTCTTTGTTTCTTTCTATTTATATATATATATATATATGTATATATATATATATATATCCACATGGGACTTTACAGGCCTGACGAAAGAAACACTGAGGTTTGTATTAACGCATCTGTAAGTTCATTACTAAAAATTTGGTGTATTTGGTGTTGGGTGGGACCCCTCAAGAGTATTCGTGCTTGGCGTGGGGAAAGGTGTGTGCCTTTATTTTACAGGTTTATGTGGTGTATTGCCTTAACCACATCCTCCCACATCAATTTCACTTTAGGAGGTGTTTAAAAAATCTAATCCAATAAAACATTAAAAGTCACACATCATTAATGAGAAAGAGAAACTGTGTTCAACCAGCATGACATTAGAGGAACTTCCTCTGTGGATACTGTAAATTTAGTTTTGTTTGCGAATATCACTGAACTGATGGATTAATGTTATAACTTTGATGATGAAACTATGTAATCTTCTTATAAATGTTATACATTTCTGATATTTTGGAAACATGGAATATGTTGTTTCACTTCACATATGTGTAACTCTAAGCTTACTATATTCTGATCGAAAAGAGTAGTTAGGTGGTGTACTTCCTCTCATCAAGAAGTTTCCTGCGTCTAACAGTCATGCCAGATTAACTGCCATCAACACACGAGGGAAGAAGTCGCACATGCTTCTTGAGGTACGTACACAAGCCTGAAATTGATTTTTAAAAATATGTATTTCCTAAATCTGTGCAGATATACTTAACACTTTTGAGTTGCTGTGATAATCCCAGGGATTTTTACGTAGTTTTCCTTGAAATATTATTGCAAATTCAGATTTTAATGAAAAATTGACATTTTGTACATGTGCTCTGCTATTAGTTAGAACAGATGAATTATTACCTGAATGTTTTGCTGCTCTTGTTGAGGTAGAACTGTGTGATCGTTCACTGAACGGATGATCTGATACAATTTCAGTCCATTATTACTCCAGATTTAAAGTATTTTGAACGTTCCAACTAAATCTCCCATTGATACAAAGGACAACAAATGTAACATTTAAAATATAGTAACACTGACAACATTTTTCCATGTTAGACTCAATTATAAATTCACTGATCACATACTATCAACCTCATTTCACAACAGAGAGCTCTTTCTAGTTTGATTACTAGCAGATGAGTCATGATGGTGTAACACTTCATGAGTGATGAGAAAGTACTGTGAGATTGCAAATAGATTTACTCTGTGCCAGTATTATGTTTTCATCACTGTAAAACAGGAAACAATAGGCCTAGTTGTGAGGAACTATTATCTAGCAATGGTTTTATATGGTGGTTTTAAATTCCTAAAACTGTTTTAAATGAATATAATTTAGATGAATTCTGTCCTTCAAACTAAAAGGTTTTTGTATGTTACTTTTTACATTCCTTCAGTTTTATGAATTTGTTTTTGATAACTGTTTTACTGTTTAAATTCTGCTGACAAGCTTAAAAGAGGCGATTTCATAAGCAGGTTCCATTGTGAAAACTTGATAGAAGGTCCCATTATTGGGGCAATATGTGTTTAATGAATTTTGGCAATAACTGTGAAAATGTTCAAGCCTTTTTTGTAGCCGAGATGGTTTGTGGTTTTATGGAAACTGACTTTCCAAAAAAAAAAAAAAACATACCCTGAGAACATTTAAATCGTGCAAGTGTGGCAGCGAGCCGTGGCTCTGCATGTAGGTTGTTATCTTCACATAGGCATGGTTTCACTGAAAATAAAACACATGTTAAAAAAATCATGCAACGCTTTGTGTGATAATAGGTTAGTAGGTTACAAGTTTTGCCATTTTGAATTAGGCAGATGCCAAATTCAAAATAACATGCAGTATATTCAGGTACACTATACATCAGTTTGTACTGATGTGAGTTTAGTAATATTAATGTGTTCTCCACCAGTTGTGCTACAGGAGCCCTTGCACAAAACTTGCACTTAAAACTTGCTTATGGCTTAATGACAGAAACACCCATATAAAAATATTTGTGAAGGATGGAATTGATGGACTTCAAGGACAGTGTGTAGCTAATATTTAGTGGGAAAATCAAATAGCCATTGAAAAAATGATAAACAATGGCAAAAAATTCTGTGGATAATGAACAATGGTTTAGCTAAAGGGGTATTTTTTAAACATTTACTCACTATTACGTTGTTCTAAAGCTGTATGACTTTCTTTCTTCTGTAGATACATTGAAAGTCAACAGTGTCCAATATTGTCTGGACCCCAGCAGGCTTCAAAATATCTTCCTTAGTGCTCTGAAGAAGAGCAAAAAACATACTGTACAGGGTTTAAACAACATAAGATGAATAAATGATGACTGAATTGAATTGGGGGTTAAACTGGCCCTTTAAGGCAAGGCGCCACAGGTGAATATAGGATAAAAACATTGACTAATTGATATCACCATTTCCTCAGTCTACATTAAGAATTGCAAAAAAAAAAGTTTGTGTTACAAGTTTTCTGAAATGTTATATTTAAATATGCAAATGAGGCATGATCTAATTAAATATGTGCTTCTTTGCATAAACTGACAGAACAAAAATATGAATTTTTGTTTCATTTTGTTCAGTCAAAGATTTTTACAGAGGAGATTTTAGATATCTCTTTTCATCAAAAAAACACTACTTTTAAGGGAAAAAAGTATAAAATCATGAATATAATAAAAGCCTTTAGAATATTGCTATTTAATAACTTGTAAAACTGTAAAAACCTTCAGAATATGGATATTAATAAAAATTTTAAGTTTGGTGTAAGTGATACTTAAGTGGAGATTTTTGACTGACTGAAAAAAAAACTAATTTTCAGAACAAACAGCCTTTAAAAATATATTGTAATTGAAATCTACAGGCTCAAATTGATCAAGTACATTAAAAGCAACACTTAAAAGTGTATTTTGGATGTTTTCTTACCACTAGTTTAAAACAACACTTTATGAAAAGGCAAAAAAAAAAAAAAATCTCAAAATAGTGCTTTTGCTTGTACACTCAAAAAATGTATTTACTACACTTACTTAATTTAATTGAAGAAAGTTTTTACACACAATTTAATTTAGTTCAAAATAAATTTGTTTAGTTGGGTCAACACAATTTAGTTGGCTTAGGTCATATATATATATATATATATATTATTATTATTATTACTGACTGAGTGCCCACAGCCTAAGGCAACACTCTTCTGCGTAATGTTAACCACAAAATTCAAAAACATTACATAAACTCCTCTAGATATCCAACACAGCTGAACATTAACTGAAAAACACAAAATAATACTTAATCCCTAAATGTACTCTCCTAATGCAGTCCTAATGCTGGAAACTACAGATCCACTGCCCATTAAGTTATGTCAACAAATATTACTCATGTAGTAGACACAGAGTGAACACAATAAAATTTAATTGTTACAGAATGTACTAAAGCTCATTTAAATTATTAAACTGAACAAGTGGCTATTTTTGTTTGTTTGTTTGTTTTTTTTTGTATGTAGAGTCTTGGCGCTGTCTACTTTAGGTCGCACAAAATTCAAGAAATTATAAAGCAGAAAATAAATGACTCATGAGCGTAGGGTTGACTTTTAAACAGAGCTGGGGACACATTTTAGACTAACTAAACTTTAAATATTCAGTTTGAGTATGCATAAAGCTGCTGTACCCATAAGTTGGCATCATGACCTCAAAAAAGGCGTATTAAGTTTACGAATGTCTTTTAAAGAAACAAGGGCACTGTTTCAGAAAACATTATTTTACGTAAAGCATTTGAAACTACAGCCCACCTCTACAATTTCAATCTGTGCAAGTAAGCTGCACTAAATCTGTAATGACTAACAAATCTGATGCTGGCACACGCTGTGGCATTAAAATAATTTTTCACTTCCTTTTGAAAAACACGAAAAAAGTCCCTTGCTTGAGACTCTGCTTGTGAATCATTTCGGTCAACATTTCTGAAACAGCTCTGAGACTTAAGTTAGGCAGTGATTTGTTGGTTATATGTGCCATCTGCATTTTGCGTACCTGCTGAAGTAGCATGTTTGGAAAGCCTATAACCTGGCCTCACACTTCCTGTTCACAGAAGTGCACCCCAGTGTATGTGATGGTTTTAAGTAGCATGGTTTTTATAGTGTTATATCTCATGTCTTTCTTGTGTGACTGCAGGGAGAAGTCTTTTCAGTATAACCTTACAATGTCACAGGCATCTTAAAAATAGATGCTAAAATAAAATAAAATATTAAATTATTGTATTTATAATAAATAAATAAAATTATAAATTAAAAGTGCTATGTAAATTATAATAAAATAATGTTAATATTATTAACATTAATATTCAATTATTTATACAAAATATTTGTATAAATAAAATGATAATTTATATATAAATTCTAAAACAAAAAATACATTGTATGGGTCAAAATTATTGATTTTTCTTTTATGCCAAAAATCATTAGGATATTAAGTAAAGATCATGTTCCATGAAGATATTTTGTACATTTCATATTGTAAATATATTAAAACTTCATTTTTGATTAGTAATATGTATTGCTAAGAACTTCATTTGGACAACTTTAAAGGCGATTTTCTCAATATTTAGATTTTTTTGCACCCTCAGATTCCAGATTTTCAAATAGTTGTATCTCAGCCAAATATTGTCCTATCTTAACAAACCATACGTCAATGGAAAGCTTATTTCTGTATAAATCTCGAAGTACATTTCGAGAAATTGACCCTTATGACTGGTTTTGTGGTCCACAGTCACAGATCACATAGTAATCTCTGTCTCTTCAAACAGGTGGAAAAACAACCATGAATGTCTCAAAAACGGACGAAATCAAAATGGACAATGCCACCTTGGCCCTGTTTGACAACAAATTGGCAAGTGATATTGTGTCAGCCATCTATTTCATCGTGACCCTTGCCAACCTGAGCGGTAACGGCATCTCTCTGTTTCTGTTACTGATGCGCACCTCTCCGAAAACCCCCTCCATCATCTTCATGATCAACCTCACCCTGACTGACTTGATACTGGGCACTGTGCTCCCCTTTCAGATTGCCTACCAAATGCAGGGTTACAACTGGACTTTGGGTACGGGCATGTGCAATGTACTGATGGTGGTTTTCTACAGCAACATGTACTGCTCCATTTTATCCATGACTGCCATCAGCGCCGACCGCTACGTGGGGATTGTGAAACCGATGCGCTTCAGAGAGATGAGGAAGAGGAAAACATATGCAATTGTTGCCTGTATATTCATATGGCTGCTAGTCCTTGTGATTCTGAGCCCGCTGCAAAAAACAGACTTGACATATTTTGTAAAGGAGCGCAATATCACCACATGTTTTGACGTGTTGAGGAAGGACATGCTCCCGAGCACTGCTCACTGGGCAGGCTTCATTTTTGGCATGTTCATCATCCTCTTCCTCTGTCCGTTCATCATAACAGTGTTTTGCTACATTAACATCATCTGTGTCCTGGTCAGAAAAACCAATAGTCAACAGAAAGGCCGTGCTGTGCGGTTGGCGTGCATCGTTCTGTTTGTGTACATCTTTTGTTTTGCTCCCAATAATATATTACTATTGGCCCACGCAATCATAAGGCTGTACTATGACCAATCTCTCTATATCTACTATAAACTCTCCCTGTCTCTTAGCTGCATTAATAGTTGCATAGATCCATTTATTTATTATTTTGCATCGAAAGAGTTTCGTCGGAAGCTAAGGCAAATGCTGAGGTGGCATACTCTCAGCACAGGAGAGATGCAAATGATTGAGGGTCGTAGAGAAAGCTTTTTCTCTGGACGTACAACAGGCAATGCAAATGAGGACTGTGACAATTTTTAACATTTCTTTTTGTTGTTTTTAATATTTTTCGTTTCTGCTATTTTTATTTTGAGAAGATATTAGGGGGATTGTCAGAATCAGCGGCCATATGAGCACTGTTAAATGAGTCAGAGCACAAGTGCTAACAACCACGGCTTTGACACAATTCATAGTGCTTATAATAATATAATGCAAACTCATAGGAAGGACCACTTCCCACAGATAGTTTTCTTGTTATCGTTTTGTAGCGTTTAGCTTTTGTTCCGTTTTGATTTCCTGGCTGAGCAACTGAGTACAAGCATGCTGCTCACATGCATTCAGGGCGCGTGATGTTGTGTATCTTGTTTTAGGTTTTTTTGGTATCATACACCCAAGTTCCTTCTCACCGAAACTTTGACATATTTTTTGTACATTGATGTGTGGTTAGCAGCAACTTCAGTAATTTCTGATCTGACTGAAAAACTACAAAGATTTATTGTGGCAGCTATTTTAGATGTATTGCTAATCTATAAATTATTTTATACTATGAAATTACTTATACTGTTTATAATGTGCCTGTATTATTACAATCTTATTCATTGTTACATGTTTATTTTTATTATTTTTTTTTATTGTTGGGCATTATTTTTCTTATACAAAGTTATATAGGGGCATTTATTTTGTCATGTTAAATTTAATAAACACATCTAAACAAATTGATTTTGTAATTATTGTCATTCTAAGATTAAATATTACATATGGACTATTCAACAAAAGCATACAAGCAACTAACAGGCAACAACTATAAGGCAAATTGTTCTGAGAACCTCGACCACAGACATGTCACAGCAAGGTCAAGATTTTTTTCAGTTCCTATGAAACTGAGAACTATGGCATGTCAAGCGAAGTACTGCGCATGTACTGAACAAATGGAACTTTTAAAAAGTAAAACACAATCAGTGCAAGACCTCAGTGGAAATAAAATAGCTTCCAGGAAATGAATATAAGTGGTCTCAGACCGATGTGAAGTATACAATTGAATTCTAAAGAACATGCCCAGTGCAATGCACAAAAAGGAAATAAAGAAGTTTGCAAATGCAACTTCAAAGTGTGCTACGACAGGTGATGTTATGGTTCAAGTGAGAGAGAGAGAAAAAGAGAGCATTTGTATAGCAGATGCATTTATCATATACATTATATACATATATATATATATACTATATTATATTAAATATGGATGTTTGCTATGCATCTCATAGGGCCATAATATGACTTAATAATAGGATGACCATGTCCTGAACGGGATTTATAAATTGCCCAAAATGTTTGAGTTTTGAATTTGTTTTCCTATTGCCAGCCTCTCTAAAGTCCTCATGTGTATTTGCATTGCTTTGACTGTTGTCTGTGATCCCACCTTCTCTCAACTGACGTACAATGCCTGCATACTATTGGTCAAACTACTTTTCAGTCATTATCGCCATCAAGTATAAAAACTATAGGAAAACAAAGCCAAAACCCAAATATTTTAGCCAATTTAGAAATCCCAGCCAGGGAAAAGAGGATTTATGATCACCCTATAAATATTAAAAGAGTTGGTGCAATTTTAGTGGGAAGCTGTATCATATCAATGAATATGATACAATAGTCACTGGGGAATACCCATTTGTATTTTAAAGGGGTCCTATTATGCTTTTTCACTTTTTAAATTTTAGTCAGTGTGTAGTGTGTATGTTTGGGCATAAAAAATATCTAGGAAGTTACAAATCTCAAAGTCCACTCCAAAGGGAGATATTTCGTTTTTAAAAAAAAATCCCTTTTCAAGAACTACAACGAACGGCTCGTTTGGACTACAGCGTTGGTTTCCGGGCTTTGTGATATCACAAAGCGGCCCATTAGAATATCATTAAAAATAATTCCCGCCTACAGAAATTCAAATGGTTGGGGGGTGGGGAGGGGTGAGGTTGTATGGGATTACATCTCTGCCGCAAAAGTGCGTTTTGCACGCGCACGAACTGAGTTTTGAGGAGAAAACGTTTGTCTCGCAAAAAAGAAAGTATTTTGAGCGCACGAAAATCAATTTTGTATTTAAAATACGTTTTTGGATGTGTGCAGACCTTCTCTTTTGCGCGTGCAACGTTTCACTAGCTTGCTCACCTGTAGTGTTGGGTCGTTCTTGAACGATTCATTCTTTTTGAACGAATTTTTAATGTGACTCGGGAAGAACGAGTCGTCTCGGGGAGCGATTCGTTCAGTCGTGCATGCGCAACATCATATAGGTTCTGTACTGGAATTAGTCAAGTAGTTCACCTGTTTTGAGTCTTCGGGTTTTTCGAGTCGTTCCTTCATCACGTGACAGCCCCATACGCTTTAACCAATGCAGTCTGAGCCGGAAAGAGAATTGATTAGTTCATCTCTCGAGTCTTCGGGTTTTTCGAGTAGATCATTCATCACGTGACAGACCCTTAAGCTTACCCTATGCAGACTGAGCCGGAAAGAGACTTAATAATAATAACCAACTCTTTATTACCTTTGTTACAACATTCAGTGTTATGGAAAATAACCATCATGACAGAAATTCACACATTTAGAAACTGTAAGAAGTAAAAAGCTACAATTTGAGACCAGAAACGCATCACGTAACTGTAAGAGTAAATAATAATTATAATAATGATGATAATAATAATAATAATTACGCACCCGTTTGTAAGGAAGCTTGTAAATTAACTAATTTCTCTATCCAATGCTGTCATGTCACGTGACAAAAGAACGAACAATTTGAAAGACTCAAGAGATGAACTAATCAATTGTTAATCAGAATGTGCTGCGTGGAAAAAAATCTGTCTTTATTAAAAACTGCTTTGACAAAGGTGTAATTTTTGTTTTAGATTTGTTAAAAAAGTGGATATCTCACCTGTCACGAATTCGGTTCATGGACTTCCGTTTATTCACCACCAAATGTCACACTTTCCATTACATTGACTCTCGCACTACACAAACTGTTGCATAGCACCCCGGACTACATTTCCCATCATTCTTTGCACAATTTGCACACTGCCCTGATTGCACTCATTGCACACAGCTGTTTCTAATTACCTCATTCACTATATAACACCCACTCTAACCACATTTCTCTGCTGAGTCTTGTTTAGCCTGTACCCCTTTCCGAGTCTCTGTGTTTTCCTTGTTTTGCCTTGCCTGTTTTTGCGGTTTCTGATCTTTGCCTGTTTTCTTGGATTTCTCCCTCTCGTCTCGCCCCTTTGATTCTGTCTGCTGATCGGTGACCTACGCTAGCCCTAGGACTATTCTTGTGTTTTGCCTGCCATATACCTGTTTGCCATTGTTTTGACCCTGCCTGTGTTCTAAGTCTCTTTAATAAAGCCTGCAGATGGATCCACACGACTCACGTCTCATCAGCCCCGTTACATCACCTAGTGTATGAATGGGTTATTAATTCTATTTCAACTAAACTGTTGCATTTGGTTAGGGATTGTTACAGATCTTCAAAATGTGAAATGCCAAAAATTTGTATTGAAGGTCTGGAGCTTTCTAATGTTAAATGTAACAATTTCTGGATTAGAAAAATCCTTATAAAATGCTTTAGGATGACATCTAAACTTCTTAATAAGTGGAAAATAAATGACCCTTTTCTTTCTACTATTAAAATATGGGCCGGTATTAACAAGTTTCTATTACCTAACAAGATGAAAGAACTTTACTATAAAATTCTTCATATGTTCTATCCCTGTAATTATTTACTCTCAATTTAAATTGGACGTCTCTTCACAATGCACATTCTGTAATTCTAATTTGGAAACAATACCACACTTATTTTTTGAATGTGAGTATGCAAAGGATTTTTGGAAAGAAATATCTTGGCTTGTTTTCTCAGCTTA